GTCGACTCCCCAACCACTCCACCACAGCCACCCTTAAATGCTAAATGTATCTAAAGACTAGCTTAAAGCTAAATGTAGCAAAAAGTTATCTAAAAGTAATAAAAATTTAACTAAAAATAAAAGTAGCAAATTGCTAATTAAATGTTAAACATATCAAAATGCTTGCTGAAAACTAAAAGCACAGAAGCAGCTAAAAGTAGTTAAAAGCTTACTCAAAGGTAAAATATAGCTGAAAGTAGCAAAAGGATGTCTAAATACTAAAGTAAGCAAAGTGGAACGAAAAGTACTATCCTCCTGAGACCCAAGCCTTTTCTGAATGTGCATTTTCTCTTTCTCTAAGATACATGGGATGAGTAGGACTTAATAAGTATAATAACTAGACTCTGTCATAATACAGGAAGTGTTTTTTTTTTTTGCAAAACAAATGTCCTCTTATGAGGACACTGGGTCTCAAAATGTTAGGCTTTTTGAGGAATACCTAAAAAAATTACAATGCAAAACTCGAGAAACCTCATGGTAGCCTTTCTGGTGGTTCCATTTTCCTAGTTTTTTGGCAATACAGCAGCAAGCTGTTGACCAGAGCAAGATTAGTGAAGTGCATCATCATCATCATCAACAACTTTCAGATTGCTCTTCAGTTTGAATAACATATTGCTTGACATAATGGTAGGAAATCACAGAGCATTTGGCCTGAACATCATTGGTATAATTAATTAGTTGAACAAATGTATCACTTACTATTTGTGCTTATGAACTGTTCTAAACATTTAAAGATTTGTGATCAAATATACCACTTACACAAATAACATTTAGAAACCCTTCTAAATAGTTGCAGGTTTGTCCTACTTCATGGCACAATTAATAATGAAGTTATAGTCCCAATGTCCTCAAATGAGTACTTTATCTTTACCGACATTGTACTTTGCTTCATTTGAAAGAAAAAAGTTCTTTTTGCATATCTTATGAAGCTAAAGATGCAACTGTGCATAAATATGCTGGTTTCAAGTGTAAAATATAACTTGAATTTTTACTTTGGCCATTTTTCGTACCAGAGTTGTTGTAGAAGCTTTTTACTAGGATCCCCGCCATGTTGTTTTAACTCGAGTGTAATATTGTCATAGGACCGCTAGAGGCTGCTGGTGTTAAAGTTGAAAAAAAATGCATCATAGAGGCAAAAATGTAATGTCCGCATATGAGGACGCAGTCTCAGGTGGCTATAAGATTAGCTTACAGCTAAAACTAGCAAAAAGGTAGCTAAAAATAACAAACGAAAAAACAAATAACTCTAAAATTTACAACTGCCAAAATAGTAAAAGTTAACCAAACCATAAAAGAGCAAAGTAAAAGTTAACAGTAGCAAAGCCAAGTATATAGCAGAACAGCTGTTGTTGTTTTTTTAAACTTATAGTAATAACAGATTGAGTCTTTTGTTGTTTATAACTGAACTGGCTTTTTAAAAATAAATTTCTTTATATATTTTTTTCTATATCATTCTTTTGTTTTTCTCTCTCTGCAGGCTGGGGTTCCATAAGCCTCCCTTCATATCTGTAAGCCACCTGCACCTCCACGTCCTCGCCCCCGCCAGCCGTATCGCCACTTCCATGCTCTATACTCCAGGAACTGACTTTTTTATTATTGTAAGTATTGCTGCAGCTTATTTCTTATTTACTGCGTGTTTCACTGATTATTATAGCCCTCTACTTAAAGGCATGTGTGTGTGCATGTTTGTGTCAAACTATCTCATGAACCACATGGCAATACGCATTTCTTCAATGAATGACAGGCCTTTATTATTAATTATAGTTTAATTATAGTTCCTCAGTGCGGTGCAGGGTCTCTCTCTTGAGTTCAACTTGTCTCCTCTTCCAGGAAGAATCTCTGAGGTATCGACTAAAGAAAAAGCCCCAGCTTGCTGGAAACTTAGGACACTGTTTGGGACTCGTGTGAGGCTGCAGATCCCACACTGGTCTCTGTTTGTCAGTAACATCGCAAGCTAGAAGGATGGAAAAATGTTTGCTGCACAGAAAAAAATATTTTCTGTGCACCTGACACATCTGACAAAACCCAATAGTTATGAAGGGGCAAAAAAAAAAATCCACTGTGATTATGTTATATACTGAATGCTCTGTAGGAATGTTTTTTATGAGTTTTATTCACCTTCACTGTATTTGCATTTAAATAAAAAATAATCACTACATTATTTATACTTGAATTGTAGCAGTAAGACAATTTCTGACATTTTAAAGGGGCAATATCATGTAAAATCAACTTTTTGAGTTTTATATCATGTTATAATGTTATACTCTCATAAAAACATCCCCAAAGCCTTGCTTTGACTCATTCATGCATGTTTGAGAAATCCTGCAGCGTTTTTAGGAAGACATGCTGAGGAGCAAAACGACAGGTGGGGACCAGAAACGCCCTTGGGATGTATCTTTGAGCCGAACTTACTAATGGCGGACACACACCTTGCCCATGAACTCCTGCAGGCTCTAGGGTGAAACTGAAAGTGAAACTGAAACTGTCTGCCGATCTCCTAACACTTCTCACTCAGTGAAGCTCTTTTCAGATTAAAAATAC